TTATTATTATTATTATTATTATTATTATTATTATTACACAAAGAGGACATTAGTCTCAAACTTCCTAACTTCCATTTCTCAGAGGTGTTAAAATGAAAACTGGACGGCTTTGGCCAAGAGTGATTTAAATCAGATTCCTACACTTAAGTAAAGAGGGTTGATCTTAAATGCTCTCACCTTGTGCCGGCTGTGAGTCATCCAGGTAGGTTGTGTTTGTTTTTTCTGGGTCATCGCTGGCTCTGGAAATAGGAAAAAAAGGTGATAGATGTAGATATTATAAACACATGCAGAAATCCTTCCCTCTTTGAACAGCTCAAGAGAAGCATCGAAATACAGGTAGTCCTCGGCTTACGACCACAACTGAGCCCAAAATTTATTTTGCTAAGTGAGACATTTGTTAAGCCCCATTTTACGATCTTTCTTGCCACAGTGGTTAACCGAATCCCTGCATTTGTTAAGTAACACGGTTGTTAAATGAATCTGGCTTCCCCCATTGGCTTTGCTTGTCAGAAGGTTGCAAAAGGGGATCACATCACCCCGGGATGCTGCGACGGTCATAAATATGAATCAGTTGCCAAGCGTCTGAATTTTGATCACATGATGCTGCAATGGTCATAAGTGTGAAACGCGGTCCTAAGTCATTTTGTCAGTGCCATTGTAACTTGGAACGGTCACTAAATGGACTGTTGTAAGCTGAGGACTACCTGTAGCAAACGCCATGGTTGTTAAGTGAATCCATTGTTTATTATGGAGTATTTTTTCCCAGAAACTAGAAATAAACACTGGCAAAAATTTGATAAGTTGCAGTCCTGTGAGCATGAGATGCTGCAGACAGGTGTGAATGAGGGCCGTTGCTAAGCACTCAAGGTGTGGTCATGTGACTGTGGCTGCCAGAGCTTCAAATCCAGGTTGTGAGGAGCTTTTTCAGGAACTGAAAAGTGAGCAGTGATAAATCAAGGACTATCTGTATTTAGCACTACCCCTTTCATTTTTTTCCCCTTCAACCTGAGCGGGAGGGGCTGGTCCAGAGTCTCCCACAAATTCCTATGGCTGAAGAGGGGCTAGAACAGGGGTCTTCAAACTTGGCCACTTTAAGACTTGTGGACTTCAACTCCCAGAATTCCTCAGCCAGACCTGTCTGGCTGAGGAATTCTGGGAGTTGAAGTCCACAAGTCATACAAGGGCCAAGTTTGAAGATCCCTGAGAGAACTAGACCTGATTGGCTCTTGAGCAGAGAGGGAGGGACTGACGTGAAGCCAGCCAATGAACTGCTGTGGCTGAGTGGGGAGTCGAACCCTGGTCTCCTCCTTCCTAGTGCCACCCCTTCCCCACTGATTGGCTCTTGGGATGAAAGGGAGGGACTGGCCCACATTCAGCCAATGAGCTTCTATGGCTGGAGAACCCAAGTCTCCCTACTTTTATGCCAGACCTTCTCCACTAGTCCAGGGGTAGGCAACCTTGGCTCTTTTATGTCTCGTGGACTTCAACTCCCAGAATTCCTGAGCCAGCCATGCTGAGGGGAAAGGGAGAGGTTTCCAAGCTGAGCCATGCTGGCTCAGGAATTCTGGGAGTTGAAGTCCACGAGTCATAAAAGAGCCAAGGTTGCCTACCCCTGGTCTAGTCCATCCTGGGAAGCCCTTAATTATGGACTTCCTTGCAGAATTTAGAGAATACTTCAGCCAATCAGAAACTTGGGAATAAAGTTAATTTATCACGAGAGCCAGTTTTGTGTCACGGATGAAGGTGCTGGACTTAGAAACCAGAAGACCTGAGTTCTAATCCTCCCCTAGGCATAGAGGTTGGGTTGGGTGACTTCAGGCCAATTTCTCTCTCTTAGCCCAACCTACTTCACAGGGTTGTGTTTGTGGGTAAAACAGAATGTCAGAGAACTGTGCTACACTTGAATGGCTCTTGAGCTGAGAGGGAGACAAGGACATTTTGCACAGGAGAAGGATTACCTAGATTACCACCTAGATCAGCGGTTCTCAACCTGTGGGTCGGGACCCCATTTGGGGTCGATCGACCATTTCACGGGGGTCGCCAAGCAAGGCTGTCTGCCTTTTTTTTGTCCGCCATTTTTTTCCCCCTTTTCCGGCGGGTGCCTTACCTCCCTTGGGCTGGGCCAGCTGGTGGTCGGCCTGCTCTGTCTCTGCCGCTTGCCAGCTACACCTCGGCAGACGCAGGGGGCGGAACCACGCATGTGCAGCGCTCCCGGGCAGGGAAAGTCCTCGACTTACGACCGGTTGGGTAGTCCTCGATTTACGACCGGTTTAGTCCTCGACTTACAACCGGTTTAGTCCTCGACTTACGACCGGTTGGGGTCGCGGCATTAAAAAGGTTGAGAACCACTGACCTAGATTCTGGGTCTCCCCTCTCCTAGTCCAGCCTCTTCCCCATTATACGGTACATGATTGGCTCTTGGGCTAAGGGGGAGGGACTGGTCAGCCATGGCTTGGTGGGGAGGATAGAACTTGGGTCTCCCTTGTTCTCGGTCCAATTGCTTCCCCACAGTATCTGATTGGTTATTGGACTAAGAGGGAGGGACAATACCCAGATGCTTCCTGGAGTTGATAGGAAGGAAGGAAGGAAGGAAAGAAGGAAGGAAATTTTAATAGTTTTAGGGAGGCTCTGCTTGTTTGCAATTCCCAAACTTGTTAGCCAGACTGGCTGCAGATTCTTGCAGTGTTACTCCCAATACATCATAGAGAAGGCCACTCCCAGCCAGTCATTTAAAACACAATCTATATCAAGGGTCTTCAAACTTGGCCCTTTTATGACTTGTGGACTTCAACTCCCAGAATTCCTCAGCCAAGAGATAAAAGGGCCAAGTTTGAAGACCTCTGATCTACTGTATATCCCACCCCAAACAGACCCTCCCCGTGACCCTGGATCCCCCAGCCTTCCATTCCCGTTCATACCTGGAGTGCCTTCGGTCCGTTTCGCAGCAGCGCCGGCAGACGATCAGGATGCCAAAAAGCAGCACCAAGGTGCCCCCGATAAAGATAGAAAGAAGCACCAGAAGTAACACATAACCGTCCTGGGGGCTCACTTCGCCAGGCACCGTCTGGGAGAGATGGGGAGGTGAAGGAGATGGTGGTGAATGGGGGATAAGAAAAAGAGGAGCAGAAATAAATCCATTGTGGGGTTGTTTTTTTTACTTCTCTTTGCAAAAAATCATACCGTTTGTCAGAAGCGGGTGGCATCTCCAAGCAACTGGAAGGCTTGCAAAAGTTTTGTAAGGTTCTGCAACATACAGGAGTCCTCGACTTACGTCCACAATTGAGCCCAACATTTCTGTTGCTAAGCAAGACATTTGTTAAGTGAGTTTTGCCCCGTTTTACGATCATGTTGTTAAGCGCATCACTGCATTTCTTAAGTTAACACAAAAGGGGATCGCATGAACCCCAGGACACTGCGACCGTCATAAATATGAAACAGTGGCCAAGCTGAATCGAATGTCAGTCTGAATTTCGATCACGTGACCATGGGGATGCTGCAGTGCTTGTAAGTATGAAAAACAGTGCTGTTGTAACTTTGAATGATCACTAAATGAACTGTTGTAAGTCAAGGACTACCTGTACAGGAAAAAAAAACTTCAGTAACTAAAAAATTGGAGAGTTTTAAGGGAGATATATCTTTCTCAAGCAATGTAGGAGAAACCAATCAAGTTGTTTCAATTGTAAACACAAAATCAAACCTCCAAGCACAGTAGCAGTCAACCTTAAATTACTCAAATGTTTGGGACAAAGGATACAGGAATGATAGTGCTGTGACCGCCCTCTCTGAAGATTGCTGGAGGCATTTCTCTGTCTCCTGAATGGAGCACGCATTGAGTTTCAACCTACAATAGCTAGATTCCGAAAACAAAATAAGCTTGGGCTGCAGATGTTTAATGCAACATGAAATCATGGTCACCAGTCTCAGGATGCCCCCAAAGGGGCCAGAAAACCTTCAAGCATGAAGTCCCATTTTCATTCTTGCTCAAATTAAACTTTGTTGAAGGGATGGTGAGAACCACTAATAGCCCAGATCAAATAGAAAATACAACAAAAGAATTGGAAGGGACCTTGGAGGTCTTCTAGTCCAACACCCCCTGCTCAACCCGATACCATTTCAGACAAGTGATTGTCCAATCTCTTCTTTAAAAGCCTCCAGTGATGGAGCACCCACAAGTTCAGGAGGCAAGTCGTTCCACTGGTTAATTGTTCTCACTGTCAGGAAATTTCTCCTTATTTCTAGGTTGCTTCTCTCCTTGTTTCCATCTATTGCAGGGGGGTCAAACTCGCAACGTCACGTGGCGTGGTGTGACTTTTTTTGCCATTGCCAGCAATGGGGTGGGCGCGATTTTGGTATGATGCAATCGGCCCGTGGGCCGGCAGTTTGACACCCCTGATCTATTGCTTCTTCTTCTGCCCTCAGGTGTTTTGGAGAATAGGTTGACCCTCTCCCTCTCTCTCCCTCTCCCTCCCTCCCTCTCTCCCCTTCTCTCTCTCTCCCTCCCTCCCTCCCTCTCTCTTTCCCCTTCTCTCTCTCTCTCTCTCCCCTCTCCCTCTCTCTCTCCCTTTCTCTCTCTCTCTCCTCTCCCTCCCTCTCTCTCCCCTTCTCTCTCTCTCTCCTCTCCCTCCCTCTCTCCCCTTCTCTCTCTCTCTCCCTCCCTCTCTCTCCTCTCCCTCCCTCTCTCCCCTTCTCTCTCTCTCTCTCTCCCCTTCTCTCTCTCTCTCTCTCCTCTCCCTCCCTCACTCTCTCTCTCCCCTTCACTCTCTCTCTCTCTCTCTCTCTCTCTCTCTCTGTGACTGCTCCTCAAATGCTGGAACACCACTATCATATCATCCCTAAATGTCATGTCATGCCTAAAATGGCAAATGTGTGAGTCCAAACACCTCCAAATTGCTAAAACACTGTTTTAGATTATATGATGTTTGGAACAGAGTCATCCTTTGTTCCATCTCCACCCAAAGAAGCATTGTTTCCAAGCCTTTTAAACATTTTCCCTCCTTAATTTTGGGTTCTTCAGACAAAATCCAAAGGGAAGAGCCTTTTCTAATCCGGAAATATTGGAAAGCGATATACTTTGATCCCACCTTTCCCAGGCTCCAATCCCCAACTCATGATTCTGCTAGCCAGGTTTCCAAAGTCCCCAGCAGAAGCCGAGTCAAATACCTAGCCATCAAAGGCTATGCTAAAGTATTCTCCCATGTGAGAATCTTCTGTTTAAGCTTGGCAATCAACTAGTCCTCAGCAGGTGCAGGAATATTGAATTACCTCAGACGAGTCTTCAAACTTGGCCCTTTTCTGACTTGTGGACTTCAACTCCCAGAATTCCTCAGCCAGCATCGCTGGCTGAGGAATTCTGGGAGTTGAAGTCCACAAGTCAGAAAAGGGCCAAGTTTGAAGACCCCTGACCTAAGACATTAAAGCTGAGCTCTCCAATTCACACTCATGTTTGACAGACTAATTCCATCTTTAGCAACAAAATTTAGCAGAAACACAATGCCTATAGCAGCGGTTCTCAACCTATGGGTCGATCGACCATTTCACGGGGGTTGCCAAGCAAGGCTGTCTGCCATTTTTTTTGTCCGCCATTTTTTTTGTCCGCCATTTTTTCCCCTTTTCCGGCGGGTGCCTTACCTCCCTTGGGCTGGGCCAGCTGGTGGTCGGCCTGCTCCGTCTCTGCCGCTTGCCAGCTACGCCTCGGCCGGCGCAGGGGGCGGAACCACGCATGCGCGGCGCTCCCGGGCAGGGAAAGTCCTCGACTT